TTTATGACAAAGGTCAATATTATGGTGTAAAATTATATCTTTCTTAAGGTTATTACCTCCGGCATACTGTTGATTTTACGAAATTTACTAACAATGCCTAACATATGATTTTAAAGAATATTTTTGCCGTCTACTTTGTATTGTGTTCCGCTATATTAGGGTATTTAAGAAAAATTAGGAATTAACAGAAAAGACTTGAAATAAGTATAAACAGGGCATTTCAGACTTTCTATTCACTAAAATTGCGCAAGATTCAACTACGGATTAATTTAACGAACAGTTATGGTCTCTTATAGCTTATATAAAAAAGCTTATATATATATATATATATATATATATATATATATATATAATATTCTTCCATCCTTTCCTGTCTTTACTCTAAGTAATAGAAATATTTCCATTGTTTGAAAAGTTTCATATTGTGTCTCTTAAGTTTTTATCTTCATATACGATGCCGTATATTTTTAGTTTTTTGTGTGTATTAACCACAAGTCAGATATTTTCTGCAGAATTTTTTATTTGTGTGAAAGCTACAACTGCCTTATCTTGGGTTCTTCCAAGTTTACGAGTATTCCCGAGTCTTTTATAATTATTTCCAACACCGGGTTGAACAGCGTGTATGATAGCGAAGTTTATGTGTGTGTTTTAAATGGTTCAGGGAGATCCCCCTGTTCTCACATTTTATGACATTCGATATTCTCACTTTAATTAACTCTACCAATACTTTTGGCATTCTAAACTCCATCATAGCCCAATATAAGTGTGGCCTGTCAATAGTATCATAAGCTGACTTAAAGTCCACGAAGATGTAGTAGCACTTTATCACAAATTCCATTGTTTTTCTAATATTTATCGGATGGATGATATGTGATCAAAGATAGATCTGCTTTTTAAAAAGCCTGCTTGGTATGTACGGATGATATTATCAGCATAATGTGCCAGTCGTTCATGTAGTATTAAAGGCCGCATTAAGAAGGAAAATTCCACTAAAGTTGGGACAATCAAGCACATTTCCTTTCTTATGTACGGGCACATAATTTTTGTATTTTATTCTTTAAGTAAATTACTTTGTTGATCTAGATGATTGTTTTTAGCTAGAGATTCAATTGCTTATATACCCTTATACCCTTACATCTATTATCGCCATTGAGTAAAGTACTAAAGTATTCCTGCCACCTTTTTATTACTCCTACTTTTTCGGTCAAAGATCTCCATTCTGAGACTTAATCTGGTTTGCTTATGACTTGAAAGATTTTATTTTGGTATTTGCTAGGTTGTAAACTTTTCTGTGTTCGTGTTCTCTATTTAAGATTTATATTTCTTCAAATTCTTTCAGTCGGTCAGATAGCTCAGCGGGCTGTGCGGCTGCCTCACATTCGCTTCACTGTCGAATGGTTCAGTGGATGTGGGTTCGAGCCCCAGCTCGGTGTACTGAAAACAAAAAGTCTAACGCAGCAGTTTAAAATTCTAGATGAATCTGCGGCTTGGACTAGGATATGCTGGGATCTGATCGGCCTATGGTGGAGCAGTACGGCAAGAGATAAGGGCTTGCGGCTTGGTGATACTCCTCCATAGATCCCTACCGGACGAGCGTAACGCTTAAAAAACCGGATATATATATATATATATATATATATATATATATATATATATATATATATATATATATATATATATATATATATATATATATATATATATAAATTCTTTATTTATTTGTTGCCTCTTCCCTCGTAATGACCGTCATGTTCAAAGATGTTAAATTCTTGATGTATACTATATGCTTCCTTTGTTAGTCTGTACATCTCGTGTCCTAAATTAGCGTTCATGTCCCTAATAAGTCTGTTCCAGTTATAAAATTCATTCAATTCATCATAAAATTCTTTTTTTCCATGTATGTTTTATTCTCGGTAGAGATATGTGCGTTTATGAGGCTAGTTAAAGAATGTGCCATCTATTCTTAATATATTTATTCTATGATCTATCTATGGCTTTAAAATCTATTACTAGAATAATGATTCTGTTTGTCACTACAAAGTTTACCCCAAAGATGTGCTGCGTTTGATGAGACCTGTAGTATATAGTGTTACATTTCTTTTTGGAGGGTTCCTGTCCCTCCTATTACAGCGTATTTCTTTCATACCTGTTATATCCAGATAATGCTTTATAATCGTATATAGGAGATATCTCATGATCTAAATCGAATGTTCTTTTTTCGTTAACCATGTCGTCCACATAAGGTTCTTCTGGTTTTTGTTTCCGTGTCTCTTGTAATATGTTTTTTATGGAAGGGTTGTTGGGTCTACCATACCTTAACAAAGATCCTTCCTTTCGGTCCTTAATCTTTCTCTATCTCCAGACATATGTATCTATTTCAAACTAACATGTGTTTTAGGTTATGAACCATCCTTCTTCCTTCTCTTTTTCGCTTATATGTACATGGTCTCTATTCTGTAATAATCTTATTCTATCTTTTCTACTATTCTTATAATATAGCCGGATAATTTCCACTTATTTGGCAGCCGTATGTTGATAATTTGTCTTTTCATCGATATTTGTATGTAATGAACAGCGATTCTGTTCATATTATATCTTGTGAATGTCAATGTTTGGCATTCGTATGTAAGGATGGGAATAATGCACTGGTGGAACAGTTTTTTTATATCAATATTTTAATAAACGAGCTTTAAAATGGCGAGTACTAAATACATATAAATATATACCCTTAGTGAATAAAGCATCTACTGTCAACCTCACGCTTAGACAAAGTTCATGAACTCTGGGGGAGATAAGATCACTAAATGAAAACCAAAAAATGATATAATTAGAGCAATGGGTATCAAAAATATGGGGTATAGTGGACTTTTGTAGAAATCAAAAGGAAAGATACAGAAATAATACAACTTAAAGTAACGAATACAATGGCAACCAAGGAGTAGGTTTCATAGTACAGTATTGCAATAGAATTAGCAGTTACATAAGCTCATTTAGAGTATTAAATACGGTAATATTATATATATATATATATATATATATAATATATATAATATATATATATATATATATATATATATATATATATATATAAGAAATACTGGATATTATTGACTGTCGATATAAACAAACAACACAGTTTATTAGGGTTGCAGTCAGAATTATTGGCCGGGATGTTAAAAAAACACTCTTTTGACTTTTTGTCGAGCTTTCGGAATATTTTTATTCCTTTTTCAAGACACTGTAAAAGACAATTATGTAAGTATTTAAAAATAATATCACCATTCTTCAGTGTAACTTACTAGTCGTTGAGATTATTTTAGTAAGCATTGAACACTCAACATTAATACCACACATTAAAATATACAATTATGGACAATACATTATAAAATTTTTAAAAATTTGTTGTTAAAAATAGTAAAACTTGATTGATGGCATGTTTTACTGGTGTATATTAACTCATACAGAGAATGGAAAGAAAAAACAGTGTAATTAATATGTAATTAGGTGTAAATTGATGTTATCTTTCTTTACAAGCATTACTAGAGGCCTTTCTTAGGTGTCTATAATTTTTAACCTGTCTTAATGGTATGCAACATATTATACAGAGGTGTAATTTTTCGTACAGGTAAATATTTATTTTATTTTTATTTTTGGTGTTTTTCTAGTAAATAACAATAAATGTTACTTAATTTGTCTATATCGGACTTTTTATTGATACAAGATGTGCTAGATTTTATGAAACACATTTCCAAAAAAACACGTTTTAAATGGTTCTTCTCTTTTGCCAAAATACAGGAATCATCGAACTTGAACTCATGTTTTAGAGTTAGTGCATGTTCTGTCAATGCACATGCATTGATTTTTTTGGTTTTTATGTCACTGCGATGTGATATCACCCTGCTGTGAAAATTACGAGATGATTCTCCTATGTAAATTTTATTGCAGTTACTACACGGTATAGAATAAACAACATTCGATGACTCCTGTATTGTGAAAGGATCTTTTGTCCTTGCGTAAAGCTTCGATATAGACAAATTAAGTAACATTTATTGTTATTTACTAGAAAAACACCAAAAATAAAAATAAAATAAATATTTACCTGTACGAAAAATTACACCTCTGTATAATATGTTGCATACCATTAAGACAGGTTAAAAATTATAGACACCTAAGAAAGGCCTCTAGTAATGCTTGTAAAGAAAGATAACATCAATTTACACCTAATTACATATTAATTACACTGTTTTTTCTTTCCATTCTCTGTATGAGTTAATATACACCAGTAAAACATGCCATCAATCAAGTTTTACTATTTTTAACAACAAATTTTTAAAAATTTTATAATGTATTGTCCATAATTGTATATTTTAATGTGTGGTATTAATGTTGAGTGTTCAATGCTTACTAAAATAATCTCAACGACTAGTAAGTTACACTGAAGAATGGTGATATTATTTTTAAATACTTACATAATTGTCTTTTACAGTGTCTTGAAAAAGGAATAAAAATATTCCGAAAGCTCGACAAAAAGTCAAAAGAGTGTTTTTTTTAACATCCCGGCCAATAATTCTGACTGCAACCCTAATAAACTGTGTTGTTTGTTATATATATATATATATATATATATATATATATATATATATATATATAATATATAATAAAAACGGTATTAAATATAGTCGATGTACCTACCTACATAAGATATCTAGAAAAAGATATATAAGTATTTTGGAAGACTTTACAAAGGACATCTAAGAACGCAAAATGCAAATAATAATGATATTTGGATGGATTATTTCTAATGATCAAGGAAACAATAAAATTATCCACATCCTTTAAACGGAAAAGTCGATTATAAGGGACTACAATATTTGACAATACATTATTTGGTAACTTCATTGACAGTCTATTGAAATATATATTTTAAGCATACTAGGGTGTTTTAAAAAGTGCTATGCATCGTCCATTTTTCAATATTGTAATGTATGTTTTATTTTTAGACCCATATATCCGAAAATGTAGATGAAGTGGCCTTAGTTCAATCACAATATAAAATGAATTATGCTAAAGTTTATGACCAAGCAAATCTATTAACAGAAAAAGTAAGTAGCTAACATACTATAACAATTAATATATTTTATCCTAACTTAGTATCTTATAATAATCTTAAATGATACTAATTTAATCCAAATAATATTTTAGTCTATTTAGAAATATTTCATCATATAAAACTTTAAAAGTTTTGTATGCATAAGCACATTAGAGAATGATAGTACATTGACAACTTAAACAAAATTTAATATATCAGCCATAATGTAACCATTAACAATATTGTTCCGAAGCTATTTTCTTGTGTCATTTTAAATTAATTACTATTTATCTGGGAATAATAATCAAGTACGTTTATTGACGTTTCAATTTCCACATCGGAAATCTTTCTTAAAATACAAACAGTAAATTAAACAAATTTTGTTTTTTTGTTACATAGTGAAAAATTCTTCTAATAATTTAATTTTATCTGACTCATTTATATTTACAATTCAGACATACATTATGCATTTTAAAGTAGACGACTTTACTTATAAGATAGTTCATTCGATTACATGAAATCAACTTTAACTTGAAAATATCCGTCAGAAAAAATCATTGCATGTAAATCATCTTTAAAAAGACAAACACATGCCATGATGACAGTAAAATTCTCCTGTTAGTGATTCCATAGTAAATTATGAGAAAAAACCCAGGAAAAAAAACCTCATAATACTATCCCGACATGGTAAGTATTTGGTCGTGCATTTAGTTTACCTTCAATAAACACCAAACTCTGATTTTATATGTTTGTTATTTAAAAAACATAAATGATGTATCCTCTATATGTTACTGACTTACTAATACTGGTATTTTCTTATTAATAACTTCGTCTTTCCATATTGGTAACCAGATCCCACTACATTCTGCCGAGGAATTTGCGACACAATTGGTCTCATTTAGCATAATTAGAGCCGCTTCTTTGATTTTTTTTACCATCCGTTTCTTTTAGGACTACATTTGAATTATTTCATTGATCCCTATGTTCATTATCCCATGCGTGTTTACATATTTGGGATCTATCAAATTCTTTATTTTTAATATAAGATTGATGTTTACTTATTCTAACATTTAATGGCCTTGATGTTTCACCTAAATAAAACTGATCGCATTCACAAGGTATTTTATAAATGCAACTCTTTGCCCTTTCTTGTTCATTGTTAGGTTTGGTTTTGAACAAAATCACCAGCAGACAATATGAGAACAAAATTAAAGATCTAATAATAAACGTACCTTATACAAAATTAACAAAGGATCCAACAAAGCCTTTGGAAAACAAAATATATACAACTTTATTCAAGTTTAAAGATTGTTTAACAAGTTATCAGAGACGATTAATTACACATTACAGTAAGACCCCTCATTTTTATGGAGTACCAAAAATTCATAAAACGAATATACCACTTAGACCCATTTGTAGTACCATGAATTCTCCTTGTAGTGTACTATCAAAATTTTTATTAAATATTTTAAAAAACTATTTGCATATAAAAATGACACATTTATAAAAAATACATAACATTTTTTAAATAAATTATCAAATATTGAATTTAATTCAAATAATACTTTGGTAAGTTTTGACATAAATAGTTTATTTACAAATGTGCCATCAAATAAGACTTTAAATATAGTCAAGACAAAATTAGAGAGTGATGATTCATTGGCAACTAGAACAAGACATATCGGCTATAATGGAGTTATTAACATTATGTACTGATAATACATATTTTCAACTAAATAATGAATTCTATAAAAAAATTTGGTCTAGCAATAGTTTATCTCCATTATTAGCCGATATATTTATGGAAGATTTTCAAACAGATATAATTTCTAAACAAAATTTAAAACCCACAGTATGGTGGAGGTATGTAGATGATGTATTCTCAATATGGCCTTATGGATCAGAGTTGTTGGACACATTCCTAAATGATTATAAACGATAAAGAAGAGACAATAACATTTACCATGGAAAAGGAATATAATAACACGCTACCTTTCCTGGATGATTTAATCTTTAAGAACGATACTGGATATGAGACTCAGGTGTATAGAAATCCAACACACACCAACAGATATTTAAATTTTAAATCAAATGACAATATTAATATTAAAAAGGAATCAATAAATCCTTCTACGATAGAGTCAACATTACTTGTTCTAACGAATATTCGTTCTTGAAGGAGAAACATTTGTTACCATCTGTTTTATTAAAAAATGATTATCCTTTATTGTTTATAAATAAGGAATTTTCAACAATCGATCGAATAGAACAGAACAACTTAGAACCAGATCCTACACAATACACAAGGAATAATACGAGGAAAATAACAATACCATACATAAAAGGATTATCAGAAAAACTTAAAAGGATAGGAAATAAATTCAACATTTCAACAACATTCAAAACAATAATCACGTTGAGATCTATTTTGTCCAAAATCAAACCGAACAATGAACAAGAAAGGACAAAGAATTGAATTTATAAAATACCTTGTGAATGCGGTCAGTTTTATTTAGGTGAAACATCAAGGTCATTAAATGTTAGAATAATTGAACATCAATCTTATATTAAAAATGGAGAATTTGATAGATCTCAAATATGTAAACACGCATGGGATAATGAACATAGGGTTCAATGGAATAATTAAAATGTAGTCCTAAAAGAAACGGATGGCAAAAAAAGAAAAATCAAAGAAGCGGCTCTAATTATGCTAAATGAGACCAATTGTGTTGCAAATTCCTCGGCAGAATTTAGGATCTAGTTACCCATATTAAAAGAGGAAGTTATTAATAAGAAAATTACAGTATTAGTAAGTCAGTAACATATAGAGGATACATCATTTATGTTTTTTAAATAACAAACATATAAAATCAGAATTTGGTGTTTATTGAAGGTAAACTAAATGCACGACCAAATACTTACTATGTCGGGATAGTATTATGAGGTTTTTTCCTCATAATTTGCTATGGAATCACTAACAGGAGAATTTTACTGTCATCATGGCATGTGTTTGTCTTTTTAAAGATGATTTACATGCTATGATTTTTTCTATCGGATATTTTCAAGTTAAAGTTGATTTCATGTAATCGAATGAACTATCTTATAAGTAAAGTCGTCCCAGGAGCACAACTCAACAATATTGGCAATATCATTTTAAAGTCGTCTACTTTAAAATGCATAATGTTTGTCTGAATTGTCAATGAGTCAGATAAAATTAAATTATTAGAAGAATTTTTCACTAAGTAACAAAAAAACAAAATTTGTTTAATTTACTGTTTGTATTTTGAGAACGATTTCCGAAGTAGAAATTGAAACGTCAATAAACGTACTTTAACCTTTAAGGGAGAGCGCCCACCAAAGTGACGTGGCACGTGGCAAGTAGCAAGTACCACGTATCTAGCATGATACATAAAATGTAACCAATGCAAACGAATGATTAGATCGAATGACGTCACTGTCATTTTAATGTGCGCTAAATTATTCGTTTTCATTAGTTACATTTTTGAGAGCGCCCACCAAAGTGGCGTGGCACGTGGCAAGTAGCACGCGTCTAGCATGTTTCTTAAAATGTAACCAATGAAAACGAATGATTCAGCGCACACCAAAATGACAGTGACGTCATTCATTCTAATCATTCGTTTTCATTGGTTACATTTTAAGAAACATGCTAGACGCGTACTACTTGCTACGTGCTACTTGCCACGCCAGTTTGGCAAAGTGGCGTGGCACGTGGCAAGTAGCACGCGTCTAGCATGTTTCTTAAAATGTAACCAATGAAAACGAATGATTCAGCGCACACCAAAATGACAGTGACGTCATTCATTCTAATCATTCGTTTTCATTGGTTACATTTTAAGAAACATGCTAGACGCGTGCTACTTGCTACGTGCCACGCCACTTGGGTGGGCGCTCTCCCTTAAGTAATATGCTAGATGCGTGCTACTTGCCACGTGCCGCGTCACTTTGGTGGGCGCTCTCACTAATTGTGACTTATTCCCCGTTAAATAGTAATTTATTTACAATATGAACTGACAATATTATTTTCAGTTAAATAATGATTTCTATAAACAAAATTCTCAACCGCATAGTTTAAAACGTTGTTTTCTAAGTGTAGAGTGTATGACAAAGTTAACCTTACCAGTAACTATATTGAGTATGTTGAGACCATATCTTTTACAACGATAACTTTAAAACAGGTCGATACAACTCAAACAGCGATGGAGAGAGCCATGCTCGGGATAAATTCTAGAGACAATGTGACAGAACAAAAATCACTGATGTCGTGGAACATATTCTTAAATGGCAATAAGTCCGACATGTTGCTCGAGATAACCCTGAAAAATTGATACAGAGAATAACAAACTGGAGATCAAGAGAGAACAAGAAAGGAGTGGACAGACCGCTGAGGTGGATGATATCAAACATATCGTGGACCAGTAATGGATGAGAATTGCTAAGAGTACGCGTAAATGGAAACAAAAGGAACAGACCATGTCCAGCAGTTGACGAACATGGGCCGAAGAAGAAGAATGTGATGATTTAACCCAAATATCTTAGACAAAATATTGGTCTTTTATTGTTCAGACGTATTGTTTAAAAGATATATCCACGCTTGAAGTTATAGTAAAACTTACTTTCTTGCTTGGACACGGGTAGAATTATATTTCTATATTCTGTGCTATTGACGAAATTATTATTTAAGCAATATTTGTCAAGTATGTTATAACTATTATTTTAAAGATATTTTAAGTGTAGTAGAAAGCTACACAGTTATTATTTTTTCCAAGTACGTATTTATTATGTCGATGGTTCTTGTCTAAAAATTGATTACATTTTAAGATATAATTTAAATAGAAACAGAAACATCTGTCTCTTAAAACTTACTTTAATATTTCACTAATAACGCTAATGTTTTCCATGGAATAAATCACCATTATTGTGTTTTAGACTATTCTAGCGCATGGAATATATTTATCCGATGAAGAAATCAAGCTGATCGCACAACGTGGTACTTCGATTTCACATTGTCCAGATTCTAATATTTGTCTAAAATCTGGAATATGTAATGTACGAAAACTTCTTGATAACGGCGTTAAAGTAGGATTAGGAACAGGTACAATATCGTATTATTTATTTTTAAAATTTCGGGGTATTTTAAGATATTTATGTTTGAATAATTTATAAATCAAATTAGGAAAAAGGATTAAGGAACTATTGAAAAGAAAATTATGAATTATAAAAAAATAATATACATATAGTAATCAGTAAAACCTTACGGTATCGAAGAAATAACAGGAGATACTTCATAATCTTTTTAACATATTATCTTCGTATGGTACTTCATTGTGGATCATTCGATTGACAACGCATTATTTTCGCCAACTTGTGGGAATTTTTTCAATTTTTCTGGGATGGTATAGTTTGCGGAACGTTGGGTAATAATTGTTCAACAACTTTATGTCATGATGAATGTCTGCTATTTTTTCTAACAGAGGAAAGTAAGCTCAGCGTTTTCTACAAAACCATCTTTACCACCAGAATACAGATATAAAATAAAAACATTTGGCTACCTTGTTCTCTGTACCTGTTTATGATTAATAAATTGTCTCCATCTTATTATGTCCTTTTGTTTAAGTAAAATGGTTTTTCGTCCAACTTTCTTATAGGTACCTATTCAAAGCCAAAATCATGTAAAACCCTATGTAAAGTTTGACATTTTCATCATGGAAGAATTTTCAGTTTGAATATTTTCGTCATTGATTGTAGAGGATCAAATTTAGTGTAGATGGAACATTTTGAATAAAATAATCGTATATTTTAAGTCTAATCAACGATTGTATGCAGGCATCGCAAGTTTTCATACGACTATTTTCTCGAATTGACTTGATTTTGTTAAATTCTTGTGACTTGATAGTTGGCCGCTTTCCATTTATTTTTCTGCAGCATTTATGCTACGTTCTGTGTGACATAATGCTCTGCTTGCTTCTGTCAGAGCAGCACTTACATTCATCGATCTTGCAAAAGTAGTTAAAAAATTTACAATAATTTATTTTTATTTTTCGATGAACCTCCCACGTATACGCCTCTTTCCAGGAGACTGACCAAGTGACCGAGTACCATGTTGGAGCATGGAGTAGAAAAATCTTGAGACACGTTCTGAAAAGAATGATTTGTGAAAATAATAATTTTATCCTCCGTGTTGTATGTACAACACGGAGGATACGAACACCTCCAAAACACGATAAATTAGGTCCCTAAACATGAATTTATGATCGTTACGGGCGACTTTAATGCCCGTGTTGGCAACGACATCGTACCAGGGATAAAACAGCGTCATAACGAAGACATCAGAAATGAAAATGGAGATCTCCTCACGGACCTATGTAGCACGAATGAACTACGCATCAACAACACTTTTTTCCCTCATAAGGAACAATACAAATACACATTCGAAAATACAAGAGGTCAAAGGTCAATGATAGACTACATCCTGACAAACAGGGTAATATATGACAGAATGACGACACGCATATGTAACAATAAAAACAATAAAAATAAAAAAGAAGAATATACCACAAAGGTAAAAGTCGAGAGTCTGCAGAACGAATCAACAAAACTTCTATACCAAAAGAGAGTCAAAGATAAACTCGACAACGTGCACATTGTAGAAAGTGATGGAATCGAAGAAAGTTGGGCGAAAATTAAAGCAAGCATCCTAGATTCAGCAAAAGAAGCTGTAGGAGAAAGGAAAATTCTTAAAAATAAATATTTCCAAAAGCGGAAAACTCCGTGGTTCTGCGCAGAAGTGAAAGAAAAATGCAAAGAAAAAAAGAAAGCTTACTTAAGATACATGTCTAACAAAACACCACAAGAATACAACAATTACAAAAAGATAAGAAACGAAACAATAGCACTAGTACGAAAAATTAAAAACGAACACTGGGAACGCTTCTCAAAAGAAATGGAACACGACTTTTACGGTCTACAAAAGGAAATATGGCGTTTCATAAGAGGCCAAAGATCAGAGATGAAAGACTCAATCGAACCGAAACACATAGATAACGACACATGGATTGAATACCTAAAGAAGCTTTATAATGATGAACAGCAAATGATGTTAGAACCAGAAACACCAGAAATCATTACAAACGAGGAAGTCGAGCTAACCGTACAAGAAGTAAAACAAACTTTAGAAAAACTGAAGAACAGAAAAGCTGCAGGTAAAGATGGAATTCCAAATGAATTATTGAAATATGGTGGAGAAGCATTAACAGAACAGCTAACAGCACTAATTAACAAAATCATCAAACATAATAAAATACCTGAAGAGTGGAAGAAAAGCGAGCTTATCCCACTATACAAAAAAGGAGATAAAAAACAACCTGAAAACTACAGAGGTATCAACTTATTAAACACCACTTTGAAGCTTACAACCAAAATATTGCAAGGCCAAATAAATCAGAGAATTACCTTAGCGGATGAACAGCAGGGTTTTCGCACAGGAAGATCGTGCACAGATGCAGTATTCATCATAAAATAGATTACCGAGAAAGCACTAGAGTATAACAGACCAGCATTCATATGTCTAATGGACCCGAAGAAAGCGTTCGATAAAGTAAGGCTTAAAGATGTAATTCACCTTCTTTACGATAGATAAATTCCACTAAATGTTATAAAAACAATAGAGAATATTTACCAGAACAACAATATGGAAGTCAGAATAGATGACCAGCTTACAGATCCAATAGATATGGGCAATGGAATAAGACAAGGAGACTCGCTTAGTCCAACGCTATTCAATCTTATCATGGATGAAATCATCAATACTATTAATAAAGGAAGAGGATACAAAATGGGGAACAAAGAAATCAGAATACTCTGCTATGCAGATGATGCGGCCCTAATTGCATCCAATGAAGACGATCTACAAAGACTAACCCATAGATTCAACACAAGGGCAAAGGACTTTAATATGGTGATCTCTACTCAGAAAACTAAAACAATTGTAATCAGTAAAGAACCAATTAGATGTAAACTGGAAATCGACGGTATCAGCATTGAGCAAGTAATGGAGACAAATTACCTAGGAATTACACTGTCTAGCTACGGAGATGTGGAGAAGGAAGTGAAAAATCAAGTACAAAAGGCTAATAAAATAGCAGGTTGTCTTAATAACACGATATGGCGCAAGAATCTACAAAGCAACAATAAGACCAATAATGACATACACTTCAGAGACAAGACCGGATACCTCCAAAACTCAGCAACTACTAGAAACAACGGAGATGCGTTTACTGAGGAGAATTACAGGAAACACACTGAGGGATCGAATGAGGAGTGAAGAGATCAGAAGAAAATGCAATACACCAGAAATAAATGAGTGGACACTGAACAGAAAAAAGGAATGGAACAAACATATAAACAGAACGGAAGAGACCCGATTAGTCAGAATAGCGAGGGACAAATCACCAAAAGGTAGAAGAAGTATCGGGCGACCACGCAAAAGATGGAGTGATAACCTCCAATAGAGGCATTAATCGACATTGAACAAGCATTTTGCTTATAAAGAAGAAGAAGAAGAAGAAGTGTTGTATGTAGGCTTTAAAGCTTGTTTCTTCTTCAATATTAGCCTCCTAAATTGTTTAAATTATCGTACCATCTTTTTCTTGGTTTGCTATACTTCTTCGTCCATTTGGTGACTTATCTAGTGCTATTTGTACTATTTTATCCTCTGTCATTCTACTAATGTGTTCTTTCCACTCCTGTTTCCGTTATCTCACCCATCCATTTATGTCTTCTATATTGCATGCTCTTCATATGTTTTCGCTTCTCTCCCTATCCAACAGACTTTTCCCTGATATTCGTTGAAGTATTTTCATCTCTGTTGTTTCTAGTAGTCGTCTCATTTTATAATAATAAAATTAAAATTGACATCATAGCCACAGAATATAAATTTTGACAAACATTCAGATGCTTGACAAAGCAACGGTATATAAGTATAGAATCATTGAAAAATGCACAGAATAGTAAAAGAAGTAAAAAGTCCATAAGAGCTCATACTGAACCAAAAACTTGAGACGGAGTATAATTAGGTATTAAAAATACCGTACAAAAATATCGTACGTTTATATAAAATAAATCAAAAATTAAATTTAATTTGCCGTTAAAAAATAAAAATAGTTGTCATATTAACAAAAATATACGCAAAAATCTGCCTGAAATATAAATCCTAATTTTTCTGATATATTGCAGATGTGTCGGGCGGAGCTTCCCCATCAATTATGAAAACAATGAAATCATGTTTGGATTCCTCCATCGTAAGTTCATTCCAGGATAAAACTTACAAACCTTTCAACTATGAAGAAGTATTTTATTTAGCAACACTTGGGGGAAGCGAAGGTAAGTTAAGAGCTGAAATAACTTGGTAAAACTTAAATAGGTAAAAAAGAAATAAAATAAAACTTACTCACAATCAGTACTGATTGTGAGTAAGTCTTATTTTTATTACTTTTTTACGTATTTGGCTATTTGTCTTTATCTTTAAAGTTACTAAAAAGCTAAATAGAGTAAGAGCTTGTAAAACATAGTATGTTATTGTATTCGTAGAGCCTTATACGAAATAATATATACATATTCTTACCTGTTTACAATGTTAATAAAATTTTAAACCATATAATAGGTAATTTGAAAACAAACTTTCAATATATTGACCAACAAATCGCGTCATTTAAACGTAATTTCCACAACCTACTCTAATTGTGTTTTTTATCGAGAGCATTGTATTTCTTAAAATAGTTTTACAGTATACAAAACAAGTGTATCAACATCCAACATCAATGCAATTTTTTAGAATCTGTTAACCTTATATTCTGCTGGTTTTTAGTTTATTGTTTAAAAAATACCCACTTTTAAATAATTTCTTTTGGATCTGTTTCTGCACTTTCCATATTGAACATTCCATTCATTTGGGATGTTCACAAATTCAACTTCCTATCATAGTAGCAGCTTTCAAATCTCGTCGAAATTTAGTTGAGGTAGTTGTAAATATTTATTTCCAAATAATGTGGTAACCAACTATAAGCTATGAAAAGATACTACATATATTCTAAGACTATACTATGCTCTAATTTAGTAGAAGTAACTAAATCACACTAAGGCATCGATGAAGCCCAAGAAATGGGAATACAGACAAAATGGAGTATCAATATCAAATGCCGGGTATGTAGACAATAATATCTTTTTGCAAAAAGTAGCAAAGATTCACAAAGCATAATATGCGACTAAAGAAAAGAAAATAATAAACAATGTAATTAAAAAGTGTACAAAACGTTGTTGTATGCAATAATAAAATCCATTTCTTCTTCTTCTTCCTATGCCGTCCCCATTAACGGAGCACATTTTTAAAAGCTTCTCTGTCTTTTCTTATCCCTAAAACCCTTTAGGGATGCTAAATTTGAAATAAATGAAAAGAAGAACCACATGTTTGGGCACTCCATAGTGCCCACTGCAAGGAATAACAAGTTCGAAGTCACCTTTGTTTCCGACCATTATTCCGTCACATTCGACTTTGTAGTCTTCTCTTCTTAGAGTGCCGTCTGCCTACGGAGGTTGGCAATCATAATGGCTATTTTTATTTTAGAACTTGCTGCTCTAAACAAATTAATCGATCTGCATTGATACCAATCACGTAGATTCTTTAGCCATGAGTTCTGCCTTCGGCCAACAGATCTTCTTGCTTGAATCTTTCCTTGTATTATGAGACCCAAAATTTCATAATTTGGACCCCTCATCACGTGGCCTAGGTATTCCAGTTTTCTGGTTTGTATAGTGGTGATTATTTGTAATTCTATCAGTCCATGATATTTTTAATACTCTGCGGTATAATCAGAGTTGGAAAGCCTCGATTCTTTTTAAATTGCATTTTTTTAATGTCCAAGTCTCAGCTCCATATAATAATATTGACAATATATAACAGCGAATGGTACGTAGTCTGATCTTTAAATTTAGATTTTTGCACGTTAGGAGTGGCTTCATTCGTATAAATGCTGATCTGGCAGTCTCTATTCGCCTGTTTATTTCTACAGTATGATCATTGGTTTCATTGATCAAAGTTCCCAGGTATTGATATTTTTCTACTTGTTCTATCACGTTACCATTGATTGTCAATAGGTGATGTATATTTTGTGGTCTTTTTGTAATTAGCATGTACTTTCGATAAGATGTTGTAGCTCCTCTATACTCGTTGCTATGATAACAGTGTCGTCTAAGTTGTTAATTAATTTTCCGTTAACGGTGACTCCCGCTTGGATATTATTGAGCGTGTTTTGGAAAATTTCTTCAGAATATAAGTTAAACAAAAGTGGCGATAAAACATATCCCTGTCTAACTCTTCTACAGATCTTCATTTCTCCTGAGTGTTGCCCATCAATTTGAACTATGGCACTTTGATTCCAATATAATGTTTGCATTATATTTATGATTTTACTGTCAATGCGCTTGTTCATAAGTATTGATATTAGTTTTTCATGTCTTACTTTATCGAAAGCTTTTTCGTAGTGTACGAAGCACAAGTGTAGATCAACGTTTACATCCCAACATCGCTGAATCAATATGTTCGTGGCAAATAGTCCTTCTCGAGTACCCATTCCATTTCGGAACCCGAACTGTGTCTCGCTAATATCCTCCTTTAGCCTTTCGTATATTCTCTTATGTATTACTTTCAGCAGTACTTTTGACTCATGAGGCTCAGTGTTCGATAATCAGAGCACTCTTTTGCTGCTTGTTTTTTAGGAATGTGTATAAATGCTGACTTCAGCGATTCTTGTGATATTATTCCCGTATCGTACACCGTGTTAAAAAAATGTGCCAATACTTCCAAGTTATTCTCTTCCACTAGTTTTAACAGTTCTAATGGTATTTCATCTAATACAGCTGCCTTATTGTCTTTACCGTTTTTGATAGCATAGTTGATTTCGTCTATCGTGATCTTCTGTTTCCCTAAACGATTTAATTCTTGTACTTTCTGCATTTCACCACTTTTATCTTGGAAAAGTTCTCTAACGTACTCCCCCTATCGTCTTAATTTCTCTGGTAAATATATTAGTAGTACTCTTTTTTTTCTCTTATGTGTCCTTGCTGTCTATTTCGACCCATTTCAGTCACTTCCCTTATTTTTTGTGCATATTTGTCATATCATACTTTGTTTCTAGTTCTTCTATCTCTTTATATTGTTTCATAAAATAGATTTCCTTAGCTGTTTTAATTTTTCCTTAATTATTCGTTGTATTTCTTTATACTTCTGTAGATCTTTTCCTTTATATTTCCTTTTTTCTTCCATCTATAGTAATATTCTGTCATCCATTGTTTTTTAGCCTCTGACCTATGTTGTATCAAACTTTCTTGAGCTGGTTTCAGTAAAGTGTTTTTTATATTATACCACTTTTTATTTACATCCATAATTTGTTTGTTGTCAGTTAGTGTTTTTTGCATATTAAAATTCACATTATTTTTTAATTCGTTTTTTATTTCTTCGTTTTGTAGCATTCTTACATTAATTTGACTTTGCAGTAGGGACAGTCAACTGCGTGTGAGTCGGTCGAAAAAGAGCACTAACCAAAAATCTTTTTTTTACGTAAAACATACAAATCCTCCCCCTCATCGACACCCGCCTGAAAATTCCACATAATTTTACTGGATATACCACATATCATACACTCAAACGCAAGGCCAGTCATGGTAATGGTCTATTAATACACCACAATATACCTACCTCGCCTCACATCCCTCCTACAGATATCCATAACCTGCTCCGTGGCATCGACTACCTGGCAGTTGGCATTCACCTACCAAATAACAACAATATTACGATAGTTTCCTATTACAAGCCTCCATATATATCCCTTACCGTACCACGGTCGACGACGAATGTTTCATTGGAGATTCAATAACCTCTGAACATCTCCCACTTATAGTCAAAACTGACTTAAATTCTCCTTCGGCCGTAAGAACTGCTATTTACAAGCAAAATTATTGTAAAGCAAATTGGGAACTTTTCCAAGAACATATCAACCAAAACCTCCCAGAGTTGGGTAACATGTTAACACATACCCAAGTTGACACAGGGATTTCCAAAATTGAAAATCTTCAAGAAGCCTCATCCCTTGCTATTCCAATAACACGATGTAATCTATATACTCCAGCTCTTCCACCCAAAATCATCGCACAAATCACAACAAAACTTAAAATGATCAGAGACTATAAAAGATTCCGAGACCTTCTCATCATAGCAGAGTATAACAGGCTCTCGGCATCAAGGGTTGGAAGTAAACAGTCTGAAACAAATACAGTGGATACGAGTTACGACCAACCTGTACTAACGAGAGGTTGCTAAATTCTGGAACTAATTCAAAGTCCTAACGAAGCAAAAAAATCAACCACGTTCACATCTCACAGTCAATAACGTAATTCTTAGTAATCAACAAGACAAGGCCGAAGCCTTTAAAAATACAATCCAGGCCGCACTCGTTTCCCCCAATAATCCCAAGTTCAATCAAAGATCCAAAAGGGAAGCCGAACGGAGAGTGAACGATATATTCTATTACCCTCAGGCACATATGGGGCCTCAATCCTCACTCGATGAGCCCCTGTGACTGAGGACACCGCCAGGCAGATGTGTAACATTGTTAAAAACACATCTCCTAGCCCAGATGGCATCCACAGAAGATGCCTCAAATATCTTCCAGAGAATATAATCCCGTTGCTCACCAACATAATTAATGCATGTCTTACACTGAGCTATTTTTCAATTCCATGGAAAGTGGCCAGCACAGTGATGATTCCCAAACAAGGGAAACCACTAACCAATCCTAAATCATACAGGTAAAGTCTACGAGAGGGTCCTCAAGGAAAGATTCGTAGAATTCCTAGACGTTTATTTCGCCATTCGTAATTACCAATTCGGATTCAGGGCTGGACATTCCACGCAAAATGCATTGGTTGAAGCAAAAACTTTAATTTCATAATCAATTAACGAAAGTAAATACGTCATAGGCATATTATTGGACGCTTAGAAGCCATTCGATCAGGTCTGGCACACGGGCCTCGTCGAAAAACTCCACCTTGCTGTACTGTCCACTATTTTTGTTAAACTAATAAATTCCTATCTCTCAAATCGGACGATCAGGATCAAAGTTGGCGACATTTTATCCACACTCTTTACTCCACAAGCTGAAGTACCCCAGGGCTCAATTCTTGCTCCAATATTATACACACTCTACAATAGTGACATCCCCGGCATCAATATAGATCGAAAACCCTTCTATATGAGGATGACCCTGCTCTCCTCACGTCAGGGCCACACAGAGGGCGGAGACAAATGTCTGTATTCAAAAGAACGCAAAACTGTCTAGATCGAATCATTAGGTGGTGCAATAAATGGAGAGTGACTATAAATGCCTCCAAAACACAACTTATACATTATTCAAATCTTCTAATTGTCATGATGTTCATGGCCGGATAACCTTGTTAGGAGAAGGCCTTATTCTCAGAAACTCGGTTTCCTATTTGGGAGTTCATTTTAGCAGGACTCTCAACTGGAAAACCGACATACAAGACACCCTAGACAAGGTAAGAAAGAGGTGTTTAAATTCCTGGCAGCGCTGTTCCGTAAAATGGGTAGGACGTCATCTAAAACATTATTGCACACCTACAAAACCTTTATAAGACCTCTAATCGAGTATAAGGCATGCGACTATGCATCACTTAAAAGCCGCCAAATTAACACCATCATGGCCACTGAAAGGGCTATGATGGTGTTAATTCTGCATGAGGAAGCAGACATACATCAGGTAGCCAATCTAACACCGATTAAGGACAGAATCCTATTCCTTAGCAGGGGGTATGTCCTTCGCACTATTGCAGGCTCGAACAACCGAGCCAAACAAATACTAAAGACGCCACATGCAATCGCCGAGGGCGAATAAACACTAACCAGGGTTCCTAAAAGAAAAGTTCCATTCCCTCCAGCAAAACTTCTACACAATACTGGAAACGAACTTCCTGTTGAGTATTTTTACATATCAGAATCAACCCCCATTAAATATCGCAGCAAACAACTGCAAGCCAAAAAAACGCTGATTAAGAGCCGTTCCCAGTATGACTGGTAACCCCTTGAAGTACTTCCCTTTAACTTGTTTAGCCTTCTTCGCCAACAATTCCTCTTGTGTTCCTTCATTATATCGTCCATATCACACATGCCTTCTTGTGAACTCCAGTCTTTTAGCAATCCCCCTCTACATCTCCACAAGCATTCCTTGAAGAGGCAATAGCCTAAACAAGGTTAAAACATTGGATACAACCATGAACCGTAATAAACTTTATTAAAATACCAAAACAGCGATTATAAAATAGGTGATGCCACTCAGCATGTTAAGTGAAAGCAGTGAAGTGAAGTACTTATAGAAGTTTCTGAAATACCGTTGACACAATAGTTACTAACGAGAAAATAGTAAGAAGATGAACAAAAACAGATAGTTCTTCAAAAATTTTTCACAAATAGTCCAGTCGAGTTAGATGAAAAAAAAAAAACATAAGTGACCTTGCATGGTCTTCTTCTTCAAGTTCCAAATCCGCGGCGGAGGTCGGAAATCATCTTAGCTATTCGGACTTTTGAGACGGCTGCTCTAAAGAGTTGATTTGATGTACATCCGTACCACTCTCAGGTTGCACAGCCATGACATTCAACGCCTCTCTATGCTTCTCTTTCCTTGTATCTTTCCCTGCATAATCAGTTGGAGCAAGGTGTATTTCTCTCCACGTGTAATATGTCCGAGATATGCATGGTGAGCTGCCCAAATTGTTTTATTCTATCCTTTAAGGGGGTCAATAGTAGTGTAAATTTATTATCGTGCCTGAATCTAACCGTTGCGTTAGCCGCCATCTTACAGATTTTGAGAACAATTTTGCTCAATATCTCCACTATTTTTAACTTAAGGCGAGTTGGGCGCTTTATTCGCTTGCTTACGCCTCAAGCCTACGCTCTGGGCTGCGTCCAGTTAGGAGACTTGGTGCTCAAGGGTTTGGGCCCTACGTGCCCGGGTTTTTTGGTTTTTATTAATTTTTTTTTGGTGTCTTGCGCCGGTTTTTGTTAATATTTTTTGTTGGCCTAAGCCGTTTTTTAGGTTTTTTATTTATTTTTACAGTGGCACATTTTTTATATGCGGAGGTCGTACAGCATCTACCGCATCCCGCCTTTAATCTTACTGAAGACACATTTTGTCTTCGGTCTTCCTTTTCGTCTTCTGTTCGGTGTATAGTCAGGGCTCTTTTTCCATTTGGCATAAAATAATTAAACCATAGTAATTGTTTTGCTTTAATCCTATTGTAGAATATAAGTACCCGATTTGCTTTCCGTCTTTCATGTCATTTTATTTGTTATTTATTTGTCTCTTCTAATACTTTATTTTGTGCTTTATATCAGTTATTTATGTATTAGATATATGTATATTGGAATGATCTAAATTAAAAAGTTACTTTTATGTTTTTAGCTTTAGCACTGTCCAATACAATTGGCAATTTCCAAGTAAATAAGGAATTTGATGCGCTTATTGTAGATATGGATATTGATAATGGATCCGATTACTTGATAGAGTATGAACCGAAAGAAATTTTGCAGAAATTTATTTATACAGGAGATGATAGAAACATCGTTAGTGTATACGTCGCTGGAGAGTTGGTGAAATAGTATTATTAATGTTAAGAAACGAAATGTATATTTAAAATTATTTATAATAAAATCTATTGTTTCTAAAAATATAAAAACGTTTTATATTTATCTATTTTTCCATATCAAATATCTATAACTTTTCTTAACCAATATAACGTTAAATTTTTTCTCCGTTAAATCTTTATTCTAGCGTAAAATTATACTGTTAAATTTTACTCAAGTAAAGTATTAACTTTATTACAATGGGATGTAATGGGATAGTGAAGCGCAACAAATAGCCACTCCTATTCAAATGTCAACCTCACCTGCTCGTATCCGTCCGAGTGTTTGCCGGGATAAGCAATCAACCATTTACTGGCCAACGGCTTAGGGCGGATGAGCTAGTAAGTGGAAGGACACTTTGTTGTCCTGAGACTGAGAAATTGGTCTCGAAGGCGGAAGAACCAAGAAAGTGGTCAACGGCATCAGAATGCAGAAGGCAACGAGAAACCACTGCATTAAAGGTCCCTGATGACATCTCTAGTATAAATTATAATGGCTAGCACTATTTTCGAAAGAAACATTATTGATTATGGTAATCGGAGACCAAAATCCGACAGGGGAGGACAATTATCAGAACGCAAGGCCTCCTCGGTCGTCAACATGCGAAACCCTTGCACAAAATACCACAAAAAAAATACTCAACCCTCTCAGATAAAAATAGCTACCTGGAATGTAAGAAGTATGTATCAGCCTGGAAAACTACACAATGTTATTAAAGAGAAGGAGAGGCTAAATTTAGATATACTTGGGGTTAGCGATGTACAGTGGTCAGGAAATGGAGAGATATCAATAAATAACCACAATATTTATTACACTGGAGGAGACAAAACTGATCATCGATACGGAGTAGCTTTTATCATAAGCAACACTATTAAAAAATCAGTGTTAGGTGTGATTCAAATCTCAGAAAGAATAATAATGCTAAAAATTCAAGCACGGAACTGTAATATTAATATGATCCAAGTTTACGCTCTCACTGCTGATAAGACCGAAGATGAGATCGAAAACTTTTATTTATAATTGCACAATACAATCAAGTTAACAAAATCTAGAGATATTACTTACATTTTAGGAGATTTTAATGCAAAAATTGGAGTAGGTACAGTTGAAAATATAGTTGGACAGTTCGGACTAGGAACTAGAAACGAGAGAGGAGAAAGGCTCATAGAATTCTGCCAAGAAAAGAATATGGTAATTGCCAATACTTGGTTTCAGCTTCCTAAAAGAAGACTATATACATGGATGTCTCCTTCACATACAGAAAACCACATTGTCAGAAACCAGATAGACTTTATACTCGTAAATAGCAGATATAAAAACTCTATAACCTCAGTTAAAACTTATCCTGGAGCAGATGTTAACTCAGACCACAATCCGCTAGTGGCTGACGTGAAAATAAAATTAAAAAGAATTGAACTCAGAAATCAACAACCAAAAATTACCGTAAGAATGCTACAAAACGAAGAAATAAAAAACGACATAAAAAATAATGTGAATGTTAATATGCAAAAAACACTAACTGACAACAAACAAATTATGGATGTAAATAAAAAGTGGTTTAATATAAAAAACACATTACTGAAACCAGCTCAAGAAAGTTTAATAGAACATAAATCAGAGGCTAAAAAACACTGGATGACAGAAAAAATACTATTATTGATGGAAGAAAGAAGGAAATATAAAGGAAAAGATCTACAGAAGTATAAAGAAATACAACGAATAATTAAGGAAAAAATCAAAACAGCTAAGGAAATCTATTTGATGAAGCAATGTAAAGAGATAGAAGAACTAGAAACAAAATATGATATGAGAAATATGCACAAAAAAATTAGAGAAGTGACTGGAATAGGTCGAAATAGACAGCAAGGACACATAAAAGACAAAAAAGGAGTACTACTAGTAGATTTACCAGAGAAGTTAAGGCGATGGGAGGAGTACGTTAGAGAACTTTTCCAAGATGAAAGAGGTGAAATGCAGAAAATACAAGAATTAAATCCTTTAGAGATACAGAAGATCACGATAGATGAAATCAAATATGCTATCAAAAACTCTAAAGACAATAAGGCAGCTGGATTAGATGAAATACCAGTAGAACTCTTAAAACTAGTGGAAGAGGACAACTTAGAAGTATTGGCAGATTTATTCAACACGGTGTACGATACGGGAATAATACCACAGGAGTGGCTAAAGTCGGCATTTATAACCATCCCTAAAAAACAAGCAGCAAAAGAGTGCTCTAATTATCGAACACTGAGCCTCATGAGTCATACTTTAAAAGTTCTGCTAAATATAATACATAAGCGAATATACGAAAGGCTAGAGGAAGATATTAGCGAGACGCAGTTCGGGTTCCGAAATGGAATGGGTACTCGAGAAGGACTATTTGCCATCAACATATTAATTCAGCGATGTCGGGATATAAATGTTGATCTACACGTGTGCTTCGTTGACTACGAAAAAGCTTTCGATAAAGTAAGACATGAAAAATTAATATCAATACTTATGAACAAGCGCATTGACAGTAAAATCATAAATATAGTGCAAACATTATATTGGAACCAAAGTGCCATAGTTCAAATTGATGGGCAACACTCAGAAGAAATGAGGATCTGTAGATGAGTTAGACAGGGATGTGTGTTATCACCACTTTTGTTTAACTTATATTCTGAAGAAATTTTCCAAAACACGCTCAATAATATCGAAGCGGGAGTCACCGTTAACGGAAAATTAATTAATAATTTAAGATATGCAGACGACACTGTGATCATAGCAACGAGTAAAGAGGATCTACAACATCTTATCGAAAGCTTGAGTATAAATAGTGTTGAGATGGGAATTACTATAAACGCTAAAAAAACGAAGTACATGCTGATTACAAAAAGGCCACAAAATATACATCACCTATTGACAATAAATTGTAACGTGATAGAACAAGTAGAAAAATATCAGTATTTGGGAACTTTGATCAGTGAAACCAATGATCATACTGTAGAAATCAACAGACGAATAGAGATTGCCAGATCAGCTTTTATACGAATGAAGCCACTCCTAACGTGCAAAAATCTAAATTTGGAGATCAGACTACGTACCATTCGCTGTTATATATTTTCAATATTATTATATGGAGCTGAGACTTGGACATTAAAAAAATGTAATTTAAAAAGAATCGAGGCCTTCGAACTCTGGTTATACCGCAGAGTATTGAAAATATCATGGACTGATAGAATTACAAATAAAGAAGTACTAGAGAGGGTTGGTAAAGAAACAGAACTAATCACCACTATACAAACCAGAAAAATGGAATACCTAGGCCACGTGATGAGGGGACCAAAATATGAAATTTTGAGACTGATAATACAGGGAAAGATTCAAGGAAGAAGATCTGTTGGCCGAAGGCAGAACTCATGGTTAAAGAATCTACGTGTTTGGTACCAATGCAGATCGATTGATTTGTTTAGAGCAGCAAGTTCTAAAATAAAAATAGCCATTATGATTGCCAACCTCCGTAGGGACACGGCACTCTAAGAAGAAGAAAGTATTAACGGTAATACAAGAATAATGACCTGCGACCTAATACCATACAAAAATATTGGTACCAGGAACAGTACCTCATTCACACATATATTTTCGGATCGTTATTTAGAATACTTTTTTTACAATGCCGTACACAATACTATTTTTACAATATACAACAATTTAGTTGCAAAATATAATATTTTTGGACACGCCGTACATTGTCATGATACATATGCTTATAAGAGGAAAATTAATTTCCCTCTAATAAGTGATATATTACAATGAAACATTTCTGTACGGTATTGATTTATTTTATTAATATTTACATCAATAATCAACTGAAATAAAATTCCGTACAAAAAAATGGTTCTAAATGGCTTTAAAAGTATTACAGTTCAAGTTGTCACTGCTGTCCCTACCCACGCATGGCCACGCAGAATTGTCCCTAACTGGAAGTTTTCTATCAATATCCTATGCTGACGCCATACATGTTTAATACTCTTTTCATTTACAAAATGCTAAACTATTAATTATGGAATCCACCGGGTGAAGTATACAAATCATAATAATTTTTATTAATTTTATTTTATTTACTTATCAAAAGCTTACTCATCAAAAGTTTTGCAGAACCATATAAAACTGTCTTTTGTCTTTCTACAACATCACACTTAAAATCGACTTTTATTATTTTTCTGTCCTCAACTAATTTTACAGTAACATTAACGGTTTCACCGATGTAACATTTATTAGGAAAATTCAAATCTTGGTGAACAACAATTGTTCCAGGACCGGGTAACCGAGTTCCGATAACACTAGAAACAATACAGTTTAAAAATGCTCCATGTACTACTCCTAAACCTTGTCCATCAGTAGAGTGTATGGGGTTTGTATCTCCACTAAGAAGCGTAAAATTATCTATGTCGTCTTTTGTAATATTTCTACAAATGGTTATTTCATCACCCATTTTAAAGCCCTTTAACTTTGATATAGTGTTCGAGAATCTTCGTGTAACGTGCGTTGCCTAAAAAGATAAAATATATTATGTAAAATATAAAATCTTATTTATACATACACTTATTAGAAAATATGTTCTTATTTATATACCTACGTATAAAGAAGACATTAACAAAACTATTATTTCTATAAACAAGAGGTGGTGCTTATAAATCACTTCAAGTGGTAAAAGAAGAGATATCATCCATTAACACTATATACTAAGGTCTATTCTACAAAGTATTTAAAAGTCGGTTAACTGATCAGATTAAAAATCAAAGTTCATAAAGTAATAGTAAAACGTTTGGTGTTCGATATGACAGCAACTTGGACTTAGTCAGTAACGTGAATGCTAAAGAAAAATTTTAAAAGTGGTTTTAAGAGTCGTCCAAGTCACGACAAGAATTCCACAAGAACGATCGATAGGATTGGAGGTAGGTTTTTTGGAAGCCGTCTGATATAAACTGGTCGAACTGCAACCAGTTGGTTTATCTTCCATTCATTCATGATACAAATTCCAAGATTTTGGAA